CCGTGCGCTCTTGGGCGGGGAAGAAAACGTTGACAACTATTCAGACCGACGTCATTAAAGGGAAGTAACTAGCGTATTCGTCTGCCCCCAGCCAGCCAATAAGAGTTGAGCTCAAAATGATAGTGGCGCTTTATTTGTTTTTTGGTTTTTTGTGTGTGTTTTTTTTACATAAAAAATTCAGTAACGACAAGAAAGGCTTCTCTCCCTTGCCTCAATGATGTATTATCGGAATTTATGACTTTTAGATTAATGATATTATTACAGCTATTATCATTTTTATATTTAACTATGTTAAATAATAGTTAATCTGAATTTGAACATATTTTAACTGTCCAAATAGCAATCGTTACAAAATAGTAGATTTGAATTAAAATTTAAATCCATCCCTCCATTTAAATTAAAGTCACCAGGATAATGTAAACAAAAAAAAATCAAAAGAATAACAAAATTGTTTTAAAAATAACCCAGTTAAAAACAGCAATCCAAGATAATAAGCGCAAACTCCTCACTCTTAAGGTTATGTGTGTATGTCTGTAACGCGGTGATCAACAGACGCGCAAACTCCTCATTCTTAAGGTTATGTGTGTATGTCTGTAACGCGGTGATCATCAGACGCACAAACTCCTCATTCTTAAGGTTATGTGTGTATGTCTGTAACGCGGTGATCAACAGACGCGCAAACTCCTCATTCTTAAGGTTATGTGTGTATGTCTGTAACGCGGTGATCAACAGACGCGCAAACTCCTCATTCTTAAGGTTATGTGTGTATGCATTCTTAAGGTTATGTGTGTATGTCTGTAACGCGGTGATCAACAGACGCGGAAAATTTAAATGCCCCGAAGTAGGCACTAATTGGGACTCTTTAAATTTCGTTACTTGAGTACAGGTTTTGTCAAGTAACTTTCCCAGTTCCCATGAGAAGTTCACACATCGCCGCCGCCATTGCTTGGCAAGTGGTTTTTTCTAGCACTAATCATAATTTAACACAATAATGTTTAACACCATTTAAAAGATTCACACGTCCTCCCTTGTGCGTACTGTCAACGCGGGGTGCACCTGTCCTCGTGTCTATCCCCCTTCACGTAACTATTTTCCTCGTACCTGCCCCACTCTGGTGTACCCGACCCCCCACCCCCCTTTTTGGTGCAACTGCCCCCCCCTCTTCCGATGTCACCAGACTTAGTGTAGCTTTCCCCTCACAGCTCCAGCACACTCACTGCACTCCTCCTTATGCCTGGAGTAGTCTTCCAGCTGGCACTCCCTGCAGCAGTACTTGGCTAACTCACAGCGTTGACAGCATCGAAGGTGCACGCCCTTTCTACGTCGACAGTTCATGCAGCGGTTCATGTGTTTACGCAGACGAGGTCTTGGACTGGAAGCACAAAGAAATCATATTTAGTTAGGAAAATGTCATTTTAGACATTTCATACAGAGACATTTGACCATTTAGCTATTTAGATAATGGCTCCCTTAGATATTTGCCAATTTAGATACTTAGACATTTTTAAAAAAGTTCACCGAGATATTTGCCCATTGAGCACTTAGGATATTTAGACCTTTGCTCACTTAGATATTTGCCCATTTTGATATTTTCCATTTAGACATTTTCCCAGTTAGACAGTTCTGCTCTATAAGACAATTTTCCACTCAGACATTTACTCCATTTAGACTGTTACTCATTTAGACATTGACTTATTGGGACATTTACTCCATTTAGTCTTTTACTCATCTAGACATTGTCTTATTGGGACATTTACTCCTTTTCACATACAGCATTAACCCATTTAGAAACTCAATCGCACATTTCGACATTTTCCTATTTAGACATTAGCTCATTTTACATTTAGACATTAGCTCATTTTACATTTAGACATTAGCTCATTTTACATTTATAAATTAGCTCATTTTACATTTAGTCATTAGCTCATTTTAAATTAGACAGTTCATTTTACATTTAGACATTAGCTCATTTTACATTTAGACTTTAGACATTAGCTCATTTTAAATTAGACAGTTCATTTTACATTTAGACATTAGCTCATTTTACATTTAGACATTAGGTCATTTTACATTTAGACATTAGGTCATTTTACATTTAGACATTAGCTCATTTTAAATTAGTTCATTTTACATTTAGACATTAGCTCATTTTACATTTAGACATTAGGTCATTTTACATTTAGACATTAGGTCATTTTACATTTAGACATTAGCTCATTCAAACCTGTGTGCAAATTGATATGTTCCTATTTGACATTCTCCCATTGAATTGAGTCGTTTTTCACAGATACGCTCACCCATTGGTACGTACACTCTGCATTGTGAACCTACCTCAAGACACATTTTGTAAATGGCATTGTTACAGATTCATAATGAAACGGGCCCGCGTTCTAAACACTCACGTTCTGTGTATCCTGCTGTGCACTGGTCTCGACCACATCCTCGGGTCCTCACCAGCTCCACCGTCTGACCTCCCGGGCCCTCTCGCGCCTCCTTCACCGACAAACTCCTCATAGGGAGGAGGCGGCTCCTCTTCCTCCCCGTCAAAGCTGATGACGGTCGAGTCAGAGGATGAGGCGTGGCTGTCCGTGTCCTCGCTGTCGCTGTAGCACCTCGCGTCATTCAGCTCCGACCGGCACATCCCCTTTTCACCTCCACACCCCGCCCCGTTACAGCTGGGACACACCAACGGGCCGCCTCTTGAGACTCTGTGAAGACCTGGCAATGGATCTTTCATTTCAGGATCACAAGCGATTGGGGATGCTGTTGATTTGGACAGAGTATTTGGCGATGATGGATCCGGTGTCACATCTAATGTCTTATGATTGGATTTTTTACCCACGGTACTTTTAGTGTGTTCTTCGGGTGAGGTGATCACGCGGCTTGGCGCATGTTCGGGTGAGGTGATCACGTCGCTTGGCGCATGAACTTCGGCTGGCCGAGAGATTTTTATCACAGGTACCGTGGACTTCCCATCTTCGTTGCTACTTTGGTTGGCGTAAGTCGCTGCTGAGGGATTAGTGGAGAAGGCTTGTGAAAATGAAGGTAACCGCTCGCAGCCTTCGAGCACTGGTAACGGTGGCCCGGGAGCAGTTTGAGAAGCCCCACCTCCCTGCATCGATACACTGCGTTCGGCGTGAAATGACCCGCGTTCCGTAGACAACGGTCTGCGTCCTGGGAACAAGGACGACCCGGAAACTACCAGCGGCTCCACGTACAACTGACTGAGCTCATGGTCGGCAGACGACTGGTTGTACGGCAGAAGGTCGTGCAGCAAGAACAAGTCCGCGTAGTCAGACACCAGGACGAAGTCGTTGTTGGGCTCCAGTGCCGCCGGTGTGTAGATCTGTTTCATCTCGTCCACGCCGTACCCGTAGGGCCGGAAATAACGGATGAACTCGAGTGCCTCGCGGACCTTGAAAATATACTTGGCCTTTTCCTTGCCCGCGATCGCTCTCTCGTCCATCTGATTGGACCACTCTTCAAATGGATCCTGGTAGACGGGCCAACGCTCGTCCGCGGCTGCTTGATTTGGAATGCATGTTGCTCCATGCACGTTTTTGTCCTTGCTTTTCTTGTTCCCGTTTTTGGAAGATGTGGTCGCCTGTCCTTTCATGACCTTCGGTCTCGCCCCCTGCTTCTTGTATTCTTCCATTTTGATGACGTCATCTATGCTGATTTCACAGAGATCGGCGTTTCTGCTGCGTGCCTGCGGTGGTGGCGGTTGGCGTGTTTGCTGCTGACGTTGCTGCTGCTGACGTTGCTGCTGCTGACGTTGCTGCTGCTGACGTTGCTGCTGCTGACGTTGCTGCTGCTGCTCTAAAGACTGGGCCGATTTTCGCTTAGCTTCCTCCTCACACTGGCTGCAGGCAGACGACATTTCCTGCTCAAACTCTTTCAGGATTTGATCAATGTCTCCTTCGGGCAGTTTGGACTTTCCTTTTTTGCGCCCTTTCTTGAGATAGACATTTGTTTTGTGCTTACAGCCAGCTCCCAGTTTCTTTTCAACCACCGTCTTAGTTTCAACATTCTCCCGAGGGCCCCTCGCCTGGTTTGAGATCCTTTCGACCCTGCTCGTGAGCTTGTTGATGTTTGTGGGGATCGCGTGTGGACCTTGTGGCGCAGTAGAAAAATCTAATTGTTTTTTGGGGGACCCTGGGGCTGATTTCTTTAAATTAACGGCGCCCGCGTCCCTCATGGCAGAGTCAGCAACCGCCCTCGAGATAGAGTCAGCAGCCGCCCTCGTGATAGAGTCAGCAGCCGCCCTCGTGATAGAGTCAGCAGCCGCCCTCGTGATAGAGTCAGCAGCCGCCCTCGTGATAGAGTCAGCAGCCGCCCTCGTGATAGAGTCAGCATTCGCCCCCGTGATAGAGTCAGCATTCGCCCCCGTGATAGAGTCAGCGGCCACCCTGGTGACTGATTCAGCAGCCGCCCTCGTGACAGAGTCAGCATCGACCACCGTGACAGAGTCAGCAGCCGCCCCTGTGACAACCAACCTCTGGCTTGATTCTACTTTCGAGGAAAAATTTGCCGGGCGCTCCGACCCCAGCTTCGAATCACTAGTCACCCCGTCCACTGACGCCGTGCTTAACTGAAGATTCGCTTTAGCTATCGCCTCCATCTTTGAACCAACCTCGACCTTGTCGCACCGTGGGGGGTCGGCATTATCTTTACGCCCTTTCGTTTTGCCTCTTTTACGCCCTTTCCGGTGTTTCGTCTTCGGGACGTCAACCTGTTTAGCGTCATCCCTCGCTGCGTGCGAGCCGCGTGAGGCCGAAGGGGAGCTGACTGCAGTTTTGTTCATGATTTGAACGAGTTGCCTGCTCAAGGTCGCAATGTCACCGCTGAGAAGTTCCGCGTTCTCTTTTATAATCAACAAATCTTTGGCGTCGCTTTGACCCACCTCCTGGCTTGCCACGCGCGTCTTCAGGCGATTTCTTTCGTTTATTTCTTTTGTCTTCTCATCACAGCAGCTCAACCCCGAGCTTTCTGGTGTGTGCGGCATCTGTTCGGGAATTGCGGCAATACTCAGCAAGTCACTGCGTCCAACGTACGCCTTACACGGTATCTGTTCGGGAATCCTGGCCAAGGGGCTTTGTTCAGTGGTTACATCGGCTGCTGCTCTGTTCGTCCTCGCGGCAACGTGACAACCGGAAGGCGTGGGTGGCCCACCCTGTGAACCTGGACGCTGCTCAGATTCGGGAGTGGGTGCGCTCTCCTGGCCTGATCCAGATTTTAGGTCAGGATCTTTTTTATAGTTACCGTTCAGCTTTTCAGCACATGGCCATGTCTTTCTATCGTGTTTATCTCCACTGTCTACATCTTGTTGAGTTGTGAGGGTACAAGTGCGTGCATCTGATGGAGTTGTGAGTGTGTTACTGTCTGCATCAGGAGCAGTTGTGAGGGCTTTGCTGTCTGCATCTTGTGTAGCTATCTGTCTATCGTGTTTATCTCCACTGTCTACATCTTGTTGAGTTGTGAGGGTACAAGTGCGTGCATCTGATGGAGTTGTGAGTGTGTTACTGTATGCATCAGGAGCAGTTGTGAGGGCTTTACTGTCTGCATCTTGTGTAGCTATCTGTCTGCTACTGTTTCCATCTGGGGGAGTTGTAGGCGTGTTATCCAGAGGCGGAGCTTGTTTGATATCTGTGCGTGGAAAATTTTGTGTGTCTACTTTCTGTGAAATGTCTGGATTCAACTCCTCTCTGAGTTGCAACGATTGTTCTTGATCCAACAGCTTCGATTCGACTGGGGCAACTGAACGGAGGTCATATATCTCGCTAGCAGATTTATTGCCAACAATTTCTAGCTGGCTTTTTTCGACCTCTATGTCTACCGTGTCAGAGACAGCTACCATGTATGGACTAAGAGCACCCTCGTGGGGGTCGGGGCTGGCTGCACCACCTTGAATATGAGGATCAATGATACGCCCTAAAATTTGTAGACTGGTAACAACCTTCTGAGCCCGTGGACTAGTAGCAGCCCTTAGGGTTTGAGAACCTGTGTTTTCGACTGGGGAGCGTTTCGGTGACACGTGACTTGCAAGATCCAAGCAGTTTCGGCAAAAATCCACCGTGTTCGTTGGTTGGTCACGTGATCCAGCTTCTAATAGTGCACTTTCCTCTTGCGTTTGAGACGCCACAGAAACAAGCTGTTTGCCACGGGACTTTACCTCGCCGTCGTCTGCCTTGGCAGCACAAGTCGCCACGTCACTGCTACTGATGGTGTTTTGCTGAAGGGACATGTCCGATTTCTCGGCTGATGCTGTCAGACCCGTGTAATCATTTTCTTGAAGAACGCCAGGAGTTGACTCATCTTTTGTCGGATGTTCACTTGAAGGTAATAAGGTTGGCTGGTCAGTTAAAGGCACTGTTAAAAGGCCAGATTTAGGCTGGTCAATTAAAGGCACAGCTGAGTGTCCAGGTGTAGGCTGGACAGTTACAGGCACAGTTGAAAGCCCATATGGTGGCTGATCATTTGTAAGCCCAGGCGTTTGATGACCAGTTGAAAGTTCAGAACCTTGCTGGTTACTTGACGGCCCCAAAGTTTTCTTCGATGGTCCAGATTTTGGTTTTGCCATGCCCTACAAACAAGGTGTAAGGCCAGGGCAACCTAAATAAAATAAAACGGAATCAAATCAGATGCAGCATTAGGTTTGAATAAATTTATATTATGACAACGGTTAATCTTATTGAATTTACCCGATGATCTTAATCTAGGATATATAATTTATTTCAATAAATATACTTCATGAATTTATGTACTAAGGAAAGACCGATTTCATTAAACTAAAATTTAATAACCTGGGCTTCATCTATCTACCATTTGAGATTATGCCCAAACCAACATTTCATTTCATTGTCCTTCCAAGTTTGAGAACCCTGATTTAAACTTTGAAATAATTCAGTCATTTTACTGACATAACACTACATTTTTACCCACCAATTTGGATCAGAAAATTCAATGGCTCTGTCGGAAACCTTTCCATAAATTTATTCTACTAACAGTGAGATCATCTCAAACTGCCTTAAGCGCACACACAGGAAAAAGCAAACCTGTTACAAGTTAACAAATTATTTAAATCTTTCGTTTAGACATACCTTGTGTGTATGATCTCAATGAATTAGACATCAACAGCATAGAATGTGTCCTGAAATATATATTTATTAAAATCCATTGACCTATTTAAAAATCGTCCACATGAAACCTGAAAGTGTTGCGGTGCTCCGTCCGTCACAGAGTTTTCAAGAAACTGACCAATGTGAACAGCCCAGTGGGCCACGTTGTTGTGAGTTGAGTTGACCGCAGTTGAGACATAGTCACACACCACAAGAAGAACACGCGATTGAGGCAACACACGGCAAAACGTGTACTTTCGTTTCAAATGAAGTGAAACTGCAAATGGGGGTGGGAGACAAATGGAAAAATAAAATAAAAATATCTTCAACGCTGATTATCCTAAACACAGGTTTAAGCGTTATCAAATTGCATTTTTTTAATGGGTCAGTAAATGTTATTTTACCCATAAAAATATAAAAGATATATCGATAAAGTCGACTATTTCATAATATAATGTTGATTCATACAACACTGTTTTTTTCTTCGCTATGCTCTTTTCATTTCACATCGAGTCGCTCATCTCAGAACAAAGCAAAGAAGGATTTTAATTTCAGGATGATTTAAATGTATTTATAAAAAAAGAATATTTTAAACAATATTTATTTTCATTAAGGCTGCATCCATAGGTACCCTGGTACCTTTAATCGCAAATGACTATTCGCACCCGGAGTGGCTCCGTACAGATTAAATGGTTTCGGAGCCGGGTGTGATAACAAAAACAGTATGAGAATTATTTTTTTTAAATTGTTTTTTCTCCTTGTTATTTCATAGATTCATAGTTTTATTCTTTTTATTATTTTTTTTTGCTATGTTAATTTTTCTTAGGATGGGTAGATTTTTTTTCTTTCCTATTTTCTTTTTTTAGTTTAAGCCATTTCCGTAGATCATTTTTTTTTTAAAATCTAGTAATGAAGATGATTTAGATACTAAATGATTTAGATGATTTAGATGATTTAGATGAAAAGATACTCCACAGCCCCCTTCCTATGCAAGTGGATTGACTTTTTCTCGACAAACTTTCCTGATGGCGCCCATGGTTGGTCAGCTCTAGTTTGATAGACGGCACTTAATTATTTAGATGCCACCTAAGTTGACTCTGGTTTGTGGTGAGTAAAATGAGAGGCAGTGTTAGTGATTGTATGTATCTGGATGGAACCAAATTGTTCTATTATTCATCTGTTTGCAATGGTGTTTATTTCGCTACTGACATATATTTCATTAATTTCCCGCTTTTCGCCTCTTAGTCTTAGTAAATCAACAGCTATTTATTGAGAAAGAAATCGAAACTGTCACAAATTTTAAGACAGGACATTGACAATTTTATTTAAAGTTTTAACAAATATTTCCCACATAACCCCTACCCATGGGCGCCCGCAGGTAGGGGCAAGAGGGGCACTTGCCCCCCCCCCCCCGGATTGATTGGTTAAAAAAAATTTAGACAAAAATAGACCAAAAATTTATTAAAGTAAAGAGAAAATAAAGAGAAAGTAACTAAGCTGATGTCCTGTCCGTTCGTTCACCATACAAATANCAAAATTCGAGCCGCGTTCTGTCCGAAATGGATGCACAACCGTGTAAAGGAAAAGCAGCGCCCTGGGCGAATGCACCCCCTGATATTGAGGTCCCTTGCGAGTACCACCTTTACATTGCTGTGCATGGATCCAGTGGGCTAGTATAGGCCAAAACGTGCCAAAGTGTCCTCGTTTTATAACCATTTTAATTGTTTCTATAGTATAATAGTTACTAATCCTAGTGTCTCATTTTTATTTTACTTAGTTTACATGTTTTTAATAAATGTAAAGCGCTTAGAGCTTTAAGGTAAGCGCTATATAAAAATGCCTAAATAAATAAATAAATATCAAAGTAGATAGATCTATAAAATGTTTAAAAAATTATTTAAAGCTACATATATCCAATTGGGCAACTTTTATAACGTATCTTTGAAGACAGAAGAGTTCTCCTTATTTTTTCCCCACAATGGCGTCGTAAATGACAAAAGATTCATGAACTGTAGGCTAGTTTTTTTTTTTTTTATCTTGTTCAATTTTGTTAAATTGATATTGTACATGAACAAAAAGACGCTATTTTAGGCCTTTAGTTCCATCAGGTGAAGAGGAAGTTTTAATTTTATATCACTAGAAATAATTAATCGTGCTTAAATTTCATTGCCTTAGCCTTAGGCCTTAGGCTTAGGCCTTCTTAAGCCTTGGCCTTAATTTTACCTTACCACCCGGCACATGTTTTTATATTGTTGCTTTACTTTTACTTTACCCTTTACAGTACTTTACTTTTCCTAATTTAGGCGTGCTAGAACGCTGGCACATAATTCACATGTGTGGGGGGGGGGGGGGTTTGGCCGTTGGTTTTTTTTT